GTGGGAAAATTTTCTCGAAAAGCACTTGTTGATGGCCAGTCGATAGTTTTTAATGGTCTTTTTTGACCATTTCTATTTCTCATTGTTATTTCTATTTTAGAAAGAAAAATTTGTGTACATACAATATCGTCCTTTGTTTTGTCAGAATTTATTCCCTGGTTTGGTTAGTATTTAATATTCTATGAGATAAAATATCATTCTTTTATCCGTTAAATATATCGATAAAAAGAAAACAAATCGAGTTCAGCACACTACTATTCGTGTTATCGTAGTGGATAAGGGATATTCTCTAAAAAGTCAACAACAGAAACGTACTGTATAAAATAAAAATCTAAAAATAGAAGTTATCATTTTCTTTATAGACCCACACGGGTTTCTCATGTCTACTGAAACTTTAAGGATTTTGTTAGATAATAATTTACTAAATCCACAAACGAGTTTTTATAAACCCCTCCTCCGTAATAGAAGGCCCCCTTGGAGAGGTCGATGTGAAAAATGCATTAGAAGCCTTCCTCATATGAAAAAAAATTATCTATTACGGGGGGGTTACTTAACCCTTTCGAGTAAAGAAGAATTATTCATATCTTTGAACTAATGTCAATTCTTTTTATTTTGGATTAGTGTTATCTGATTTACGTGACAAATATCAGAATTTTATCAGAAATTCAGATACAAAGTCAAATCATCTCAATCAACATGATAATGAATGGACGCCAACAACAGTATTTGAAACGAATTCGATAAATCCATTAATTGAAATGATAAATGAATCTAAAAATTTGACAATTTTGCCACTATCAAATGAAAAAATGTACACTATTGAATTTTATTGTGATAATCGTTTACCAGTATTTAATGAATGGCAGAATGAAAATGCATTCAAAGTAAGTAAATAGAAATCTAAATTATTTTAACTATAAAATAAAAAAATAAATAATTTTTATCTTACTTATTCATTTTCTATTTGAAGTTTTATCGAACAACATGGTCAAATGGTATTCCTATTCTTGTTAAAAATATTCATTGTAATTTAAATTTAACATTATATGAACCAAACAAATTAAAAGAATACATGTTAGAACAAATTCATTTATTCAAAAAAAATAAAAGAAAAACTGAAAATATTATGTTTTATGATTCTAATGATCATATACAGATTTTATGTGATAGTGAACAGAAAATTGAAGAATTTTGGAACGGTTTTATGAATATAAATGAAACTATAACAATGAGAAATAGAAATGGTCAAAAAAGACCATTAAAAACTATCGACTGGCCATCAACAAGTGCTTTTCGAGAAAATTTTCCCACATGGTACCAAGATTTTATGAAAAATATACCGTTTCCTCAGTATACAGCCGATGGATGTTTTAATCTTGTTCAATATTTGTCTAAGGAGGATCTTAAACCAGATCTTGGACCAAAATTCTATATTGACTACGGTACGAATAAATTTTCTATCCATAAGGCATTGATGAATTCTTCTCTTATTGCACGTTACCATTTCAGAAAATTCAGATGTTGAATTGAAATGTGGCACAGCGAATCTTCATATCGATTCATCAGATTCTGTTAATGTTCTTGTGTATGTTAACAACGATAGTAGAAATAATAATGATAGTAAGGATAGAAAATCTGTTGATAAATTTTGTTACCAGCATCTTAAAATTTTAACATAGATATCGAACAATTGATTCGTTCAACAGTCACTGATGTAAAACAACTGGAACGAATAAAATATGATACAGCTGGAGCAATATGGAATATATTTCGAGCGAGTGATGTGCCATTAATTGAAGAATATATAAGAAAAGTAAGTGGAGAGTTTGTATTTTTTTTTACCATATTTTTTCATGAATACAAAAAGGGAATTCTTCTAGTTTGTCTTGTTAGTTTCGAATGATGCTTGTAATTCAAAATATTTTTTCTATAAATCTTTTCGAAATAGTCATCGGTTTTACTCTGTACAAGAGTAACTCTTTAGTCAAAATAAACATTAAACAATTTTGGCTGAAATTCACTAATCATCGGCTAAAGCTACAGTTAATGAAATAATAAAACAGATATAGTCGATAAATTTATATATGCTGAGCCTCCAGTCTCTTTCTACATCTGTCACACATACATACATTTCGACAATCTGTTTTTCTCTTATCTGTATTCCATTAAAGAAATAGTTAGTGGCTACAATAGATGGTTTTTTTTTTTCGTGGAGAACTAAAAGCAAGTGCACTGTAAAAATAATTAGGGTAAAAAAGCAGACTAATGCAGGATCCACAATATTCCGTATCAAACATTTATTCTGAGATATTTCATCACATTGTGAGCAACATTCTGTTATGTCAGAACGACATCGGAAGAATACGTGTTTAGAAATGTGACTATTCTTTGTGCCACGTTCACACGATACATTTTAACTTAATTTAATCCTAATCTTTCCAGCGTCTGAACGGTGTTATTTCGAACTCGGTTAGGATTTGGATTAAACTAAGTTAAAAAGTGTCGTGTGAATGTGGCTTTATTCTATTTAATTTCGGACTTAGAAAACTCTATCATTTCTCCTATGAGATAATTAATCATCACGTGATTCACTTCATAATGAATATATGCTGCAGTACTGTATATGATGAAAGCTATACTGTAGTAGAATATATGACACGATAATGAATCAGCTGATATAGGAATATAGCGAGACTTCATGATTGAGACCACTTTTTTTGATGATTATTAATTAGATTTAAAAAGTGGTCTCAATCATGAAGTAGCCGAATATAGGAATTCTTCTTGAAAATAGAATAATTGGAAAATAGGCTTCCAGTCTTCGCTGAGCGCAGTTGGCATTATCATAGCTGCCCTGAGGTCTTCAGACAGCGCTTTTCTGAAAAACCATTTTTTATTCAAAAACTGTAGAAAGTAATCAAAACTTTTCTTAATAAGGCATGATTGTAGCCCGCAAAGTTCTGATTAGAATAAAACATCTCCCAGCTCTACACAACCTTTCTTTGCAAAGTTATAGAGTTTACAAGAAAACCCTAAATTTTCATTGGCAGTTCAAAGTTATAGAAATAAGAAATTAATTTTGGAACAATTAGCACGGTTGCAAGTCACAATGAGAATTTCCCGACATTTTACTCACAATGTGGTGAAATATCTCAGAATAAATGTTCGATGTGAAATATTGTGGATGGTACACTAGTCTGCTTATTTTACCCTAATCATTTTTACAGTATATCACTGTCCAGAATCGAGAATGACTGCTCTACAGAAGTTCATATACAGCAAGAATCGTTCAATCGGACATATAAGTGTTCATAATAAGCATCTGCGCACATGTGAAGAGTTTAATGTATTTGTTCCTTTTAAGACGAGGCGAAAAGCTTGTGAACAAAAACGAACACTAGATCGTAATATAATCCACGATCAGCGATTTTATCTTCACACACATGATATTGAAAAACTGGAATTATTTTATGGTATAAAATGCTATACGATCATTCAATGCTTGGGAGATGCTATTTTTATACCTGCCGGTGCTCCACATCAGGTAAAAATAAGAATTCTCTCGATTTATTGAGTATTTATTTGTCTGTTTAAATTAGGTTAGAAATATTCGTTCTTGCATTAAAATAGCCGTAGATTTTATATCACCAGAAAATGCTGATCGTTGTCTTTTAACAACACGTGAATTTCGCTGTTTACCACGTTCATACTTAAATGAGTCTGATATTCTACAAGTAAAAAAATTGAACATCTGTATTTAATGTATTTATTGATGAGTTATTAATTTAGACGAAGAATGTTTTGTTTCAAGCCATGCGTTACTCCTTGCATGTAATAAACCAAGATGAGAAAATCTCGCATTAGAAATAAACTCACTACTTCATGGAAAAGCTTTTGTTAATAAAAGTGAGCTATGTTGTACAATTTATTCAAATATTTTTAAAGATACTGTTGACCGAGACAAATATTTATACCATAACGATTAAATTTTCTTTGTACACTACCATGGAAGACAATTAAAACCGTTCATTCGGCACCATGTATAATGTCTATTATGAAACATGTTTGATATCGTGGTTATCAATGGCAAATGTGTGGTCACAAGGCCTACGAACAGACATGTGCCTTACTATTCTTTATACCTAGATATATATACATGTGAGATGTGCTGTTATATGTATCGCAATAAATGGTTTAGTCTAATGTTTATTTTGTTAAATATTGTATTTTATGCAGAAATAATATTTACAACATATTTCATTCGAAATAAATAATAACCCAGCAACGAAACTTGCCAGTTATGTGAAAAGACAGGTTAGATTGCGTTCCAAGATTCGTGTAGATGTTACAGTTGCCTACGAAATAAACATACTCACTAATGTAAAACTTATTGCTATTTCTTATTACTACTACACAGGTTTGAAGATCACACTAAACTTTTTCATACACGTGTTTTTTCCATTAACACGACGAATTTAGGTATGCATCGGTTACGGTTATAACCGCTGTAACCGAAACTGGTAAAATGAATAAACAGTCATATGAATAAGAACGGTAGAAGTAACATAGTTCCACCAGTGTCTTTGGAAGAGTGCATATTATTCAGGTTGATTCTAATACAATAACGTTTCCATCATTCATGTCAACTTCCTTCCACGTCATTAACAATTCAACAACTAACACTACGTTTCGCTCTCTGGAATATATTAAGAAATCATCAACAATTCGGTATTGTTAATTAGTAAACATAAGAAAAGCAAAATGGCTCTTTTCGAATTGAGACCACCTTTTTGCACTCACTCTCACCTGGTTGCCCTTTGATGTTTGTTTGCTGTAATTAAGACTTCCAAACTTTTTGATAAAAAATGATCTCAATTAGAAAACTCGGCAAAAATGGTATACAGGATTTACTTTCCGAGGATTTACTTTCCGATGATTAATTTTTATTCTAATTAGCTTTTTTCTTATAGAAAAGGAGATATCTATGTTTTTTTTCCTATAGCGGATTTACTTTCCGATGATTAGATAAAATATCTTTATTAATTAAACAGTCTGATATATAGGGATTTACTTTCCCATAATTTGATAACATATGTATACTAATTAAGCAGTATATACTTTCCACTGATTTGGAAAAGTATTCACTTAATTTATTAATTAATGGATATGAAAGAAAAACAGAAAATAGAAAAAAAGATCAACTT